TTATATGTTACACAAGGTAAATCTCTTTCTCTCTCTCCCTCTCTCTCCGGTCAAGCCGAAAAATCTTCTGTAATCAGACAAACAGTCAGTCCAAACTTTGAAGTCGTAAATACTTCCCAGTGTCAGCATAGAAATTCAACTCAGACCAACAGGCGCTATTTTGAACTAAGTATGTAAAGCTAAGTACATTCACGGCTAACATATATAGACAAAGCGCTACAAGTTGCTTACATTCCCGTCTTACCTTATGTTGCACAAACGTGAACGATGGCAACGTCCGTTGAGTTAGCTTTAGAGGTTTTCGAGAGAAATTTCTTATGAAAGATTCATACACATTGGCAATCAAAAAATAATAATAATCTGAGCAGAATCTTTTTATATCACTACAAAATACTTGAGTTTGAAGAAAATTACCTTATAGATGTCCTGCTGATTTTTCAAAATATTATTTTTTTTATATTATTTTTTCTACAATATTTTTTTATTTTTAGCTCTGTATTATATTTATAACAGCAATAATATTGGTTAAGAATATACGATACCCCTTCGGTCTGTACATATAAAGATATGCGTTGTAAATGTAGATAATTTCGATAATATTGATAAATATCCCATCCGTTTTACCCACCGCAACAAATAACTGTCAAAAGTGCCTAACAAACTTGAAATTCTAACTGATAACATGTTTAACGGTTAATGAAAAAAGCAGCAGTAAAAAATTAAGTAGCAAAGCAAACAATTGCCATCAATGTTGTTTCTGATATAGACATGTGTTTTAATATATATTTTCTCTCCTTTTTCCGACGTTGTTATTTGCTGTCTGTAAGTGTCAGACACTTGAGTGGGTATAAATGTACAGCAAATGCTGTTAAATGCTGTTAACGCTATTGGTTTAGTTTTTGCAATATTCTTTTTTTATTTTAGTTTTCAATTAGTTAGTTACAACATGCAATGTAAAGGGTGTTACGTTAGGCATGTGGTTTTCAATGAGGCAACACACTTCTTTCACAGCTTTTACTCGATTTATACTCACTTTGGATTACAGTTTCTTTATGCACAGAATAAGGTCTGCAAATCATGCGAATTTATTTCCAAAATTATAGTTCGCTTCGCCCATTATTCGGTCGACATTATGCACCGTCAGGATAGGTAATTCGCTCTATAGCTGTGCGGCAGATTATAGAAAAAAATCCGAATAAGTCCATCCGCGCAACAATTGGAGCTGTACCCCTTCATCTTATGGAAGATTCTGCGAACGGAACCTGATTTGCGACTTTATAAAATTCAACTGCTGCAAGATTTCAAGTCCGATAATTATCAAGCGCGTTTGGTGCATAAGCCCAAGAAAAGATCCGGATTTTTACTTTCATTTAACCACTGGTACATATCTCTTCAAATATTAACCATAATGTTTGAGCCAATGAAAAATACTATAGAGCCATCATTCACGACTTTTTCGTCCCTAAACTAGCGCAAGTTGATGTGCACTACCTTAAGTGCCAACAAAAGCCTAGGAAAAAATCTATTTAGTAAATGAATCTTCTTCCATTTTACGCCGCTGGACTAATTTTTGTGGTATTATGTGCATTGGATTGTCTACGTCGATAAGCCAGAGAATATTTGGCATATTATTTGTACTGAAAAAACGCTTTTAAGAAAAAATATCCATTTTTATAAGTTACCATATTTTTGATCATTTTTATATGTATGTAAAAAAGTACATTTCAATATTTCTGTAACACGATTTTATTGTTTGCTAAAAAATTCATAAATTTCTACAACAAATTTATACTCTCCCACACCCAGCTCTAATATCTCGACAGGAAATTAAATGTGAAATGCAAAAAACAGCAACATTTTCCAAGCTTTTCAACATCCAATAGTGTGTAATCTAAAAACAATAATAAATTTACACCAGTTATATTGCTCCGCCCACATTTTGAAGTTCCCATACAAACATATATAAGTATGTTTTGTTACTGTATTTACTTTTAATCAGTTCAATTGCATAGAATGTCATTTACTTATTTATTTCTAAAAATAGCTTGACAGCATTTAAGTATTGTACTTTAGATAAGTTAAAACAAAGTAAATCATTCATTCAAAAATTAATGAGTTGACGTTTGGTGTTATTAAAAACTACCGTTAATTTTTACTACAGCAGCAGTCTGGCTGGTTCGTAAGGCAGCCGCGTGGTGAATAATGTCTGTGTTACAAGCTAAACTACGGTGGAATAATATTCCCATCGGCTCCAAATATATGAGAAAAAATAGGGAAAAGATTCAAAATGTCAAAGAATAAATATGTATAAATATATATATTGAATATATATATATATATAAATAAAAAAAAAAATATATATATATATATGTCACAAAAGTGATGCAGAGAGTGACATCAACGCTTCAAAAGTGTTGATTCTAGCGTTAAAGACAAAGCGCATGATAACTAAACCAAAAGGTTTGCAGATGAGGTATTGAAGTATTTACTCACTCAAGTTCCTTGCCAACCAGGTGCGAAACGTTAACGACCCCAACTAATGCGTTTGAGTCGTGGTTTGCTTGGAAAACCGGCCAGAGAAGATCAAATGATATTGCATTATGACAGCTATCGATCTATAGTATGATACGCAGTAACGGTCAAAAACTATATGGAAACCTGAAATTAAAGGCCTTGCTTCTTGTATTGGATTTTTGATGGATTCAAAACGATTTAGGTGGTCACAGGCTCGGATCTTTTGTTAAATTCGAAGAATGACCCAATAATTGCATCAAGGATAGAAAGGACTAATGACCACAGATATGAAAAAATCAGTGGCTTTCGAAGGGCAATACTTTGAATGATGTACTTTTTACTTTTTCAATTAAAAAAAAATCATTTTTAAATCACGAAAAAACGACTCGAATTAATTCGGATACCAAATATTTGCAATACAAAAAGTAATATTACTAAAAGCAATAGTAAAACTAGCTGGCAAAAATCACTGTAACTATAAAAATGGCAAAAAGCTTAGTATAAAATTCATTCAGTATTTTTCAGTACTATTTTTCGTAACCGGACTTTAAGGCGCAACAGAAAAAATTTACATAAACAACAAAAAAAAATGTTAGTGTTGTAATGAAACTCCTCACCCTTGCATAGTAAATAGTTATCGTCCTTACTCCCCGTTAGGCAGCAATTTAGTTTACATTATGAATAGAATTCACTGGCGTTGCTTCTGATGCAGCGAGCAATTTATTTTGAATTATGACTAATTTATGTATGTATGTAATGTAAACAGAATTTGCTGACTGTTGGTGATAATATAAGGTGAAAAAAATAAATTCAGTTGTTATTATTATAAAAAAACACTATTTTTCGTTTGTTTCATCATAGTCATTATATTTACGAGGGGCAACATGTCGTATACGTAACATAAAATAGTTTTATAAAATAAAATATTAACCAAAATACACACTTTTAAAATGTGCAAAAAGCTCATAACAAAAATGTACAATAAATTAAAGGAAGGCTTCTAACTGTACAACATACTTGTAATAAACTGCATACACACATGCATTTGAACATACACACAAATGACACATTTCTTCTCCATGTATTTATGTGGCCCGCTCAAATGGTTAACGCCCACCAACGCATATAAAAACATTATTTATTGTACGTGTTGAAGTCCCTTGCTGAAAAATAAAGCAACAACTACACCAAGAGTTATGCAATAAATAAAAAGAGAACAGTTCGTTTTGCAAATTTTTTCTTTACCTTCTTTAAAAAAAAAGTACTGTACGTGAACACGATTCGACAAAAAATAATGTTGTAATGTAAATTGAAAATAATTTCATTTGCTTTCAACTGCCTTAACATGCTCTGCTCGATTGTGCCAAGGGAAAGTAGTTAGTTAGAGTTTTATGGCGGGAAAGTGTGGAAAATAGTATGCGAAAGGGAAAGAGTGAAAGTGAATTGCCGGCAGAAAATAGCTGCGCCGTTAAGAATAAGCAGAGAATACGTACACAAGACTTTAGACTTTACATATCCCCACAAGAAAAACTCTAACGGTGTGATATCTCACGATCTTGGTGGCCAATCAAGCAGCCCAAAACGTGAAATTATCCGCCCAGCGAAGTGTTGCTGCAATAAATCCATTGAAACGAAATGTCGCCGAGATAACAAGTTTCAGGCATCAAAGAGGCAGTTATCATGACACGATAACGTACGTCATTGACAGTTGAGTTCTCAACGGCCCACAAACCACACCAAACCGTTATTTTTCCCGGATGAAATTGCAGCGCTTGAATCTCTTCAGGTTGCTCTTCGTCCCAAATGCGGCTCGTTTATGTACATACCGATTGTGCCAGTACTAGTCCTCACCGCTGAGCAAAATTTGACTCGAAAAAGTGGGATCTTATTGGAACTTTTCAAGAGCGCATAGACCAAAGCAATGTTGCTTGCAAAGGTCAAGCGAATTCAATTCTTGCACAAGCTATTTTTTGTACTCAGTCCGTTTGGCTGCGAACGGCGCCGAGTCGGAAATCCATGGTCTTCCTATACACTCTCAGCTACGGCCGCTATATTTTCTAAACTGCGTGCTGCGTGTGCTCAATTCAATCGAATATTATTTAGTAATAAATGCTTGGTCTCAAGATGGGTGATGGTGGCGCGACTGCTGCGCTCAGTAGGCCGTTGGCCATAAGTTAAGCGAAGCGCGCGAAACAGATTCTTTACCGAGCTCGAATTTTCGTAATGAAGTAGAATGACTTTTAAAGATTATTCAGACGTAAGTCTTTCCATGATGAAATGCCAAAGAATACTGAACAAGCATAAAAAGTCAGCTTAGCAGGACTCACGCATGTCCTGTCATAAGAGGCTATTGGGAAAAGTACCTCCACTTTGATCCGGCGTTAATTTTTGTAAATTGTATAAAACCGTGTGACCCATATGAGCTATACTTGCTTTATCTAAGAAATTTTTTTGTTAACTCATTTAATTTTTCAACTATTTTTCAGGCTGTGGCGCACGTATCTTAATAAAAAGCGAAGAAACTGCAATTTACAATATGAAATGGAATACAAATGAACTTACAGATTAATTTAAATATTTCGTTGATGCAACACTAGTGCCAACGACTCGACCTCTACCACTCCTTGCTCCCGTCATAACAAACCCTCCTTTACATTTGTGACATTCACAGCCAAAAGAACTGAATGCCCCCAAAACGTTCTAGTCAGCATAAACCATTTGACGACGATAAAATCAAGCACAGCATACGAAAAACAGTTATGTTGCAAGATAAGTGTGGCATGTGTGACAAGAATTACGATTGTGGTTTAGGAAGGGAAAACAAGCAAAAATTGCAGGAATTCAAAGAGTGAAAAACTTCAAGGTTACCCTGCCGGTATTTGCTACAAAGCGCAGCTGCACAATGAGGCAGGCAATAATTCTGACTAACACAAGGTTGCAACAAAGTTCAGTAATAAAAAGTTATGTGAAATTCTCGATAAAGAAATTTAAACACGGGAAAACTGTTAAGCAATGTAAACGCCAGACACATGTTCGAAGTGGAGAATTATGTAAGCGTAGTTATCAAGTAGAAGTAAATGGTGTGGCAAGAAATGCAATACAACAGAAAAGGTGCATATGTAAGTCAAATGAGACTGTGCGCAGTGAAATAAAAACTAGCGCAGGAATAATAGGAAAATGTAGGCAAACAGGATTGAGAAAATACCTTCAAGACGGTTTAACTAAAATGCCGGAGAAATCGTTAGCAAACGAACGCTTTCTATTAAGGGAGAACACCAACGAAGCACAAAAGCTTGCAGTACAAATAAATCAACAGAGTAAATTTCAGAAAAATCTAAGAATATTTGATGAACACAAATTTCACTTTGAGTCCCACAATACCAAATCCGCAATAACTCATCAAGTAGGGGCTCGAGCTGTAAACGAAGCTGAAGCAAAACTGCCTAACTGTGATCAAACTCAAACCAAAGAGCCAACTTCTACGCAGCAGCAAGCAGTGATTTATAACAAATCGGCAATGCCACAAGAGCGACCAAACTGTGAACAAAGAAAAACACAACAAGACAGAAAAATCAAAACTCTTCCAAACAGTTTGCAAGATCTAACAGATGTTGCAACTCTCAACCCAACCCAACAAAGATATTACAAAGAGCCGCGCTGGCCGCTCCAACACTGCAACACAAAAGAACGGCGAACTCAAACAAAAATGCTCACTAATTACCGATCTCAAGCCGTAGTTTCCGACCAAGCCAACTTAGTGCAACAAAATGAAGTCAATCTAGCAGTAAATTTACATAATACAACCCGAGATCAACTGCGTACCAATCACCTTTTGACACATACAAACTGTAACCACAAATTAACACGCTTTTCTTCGAAACATTTCCCAACTTCAATTCCAATGCACGAATGGCACACAGACGTCAACAGTGCCAACTTTTGGTTTTGCTACCGAACAACGAACATTAATACTTACACTTCTGACCAGCAACAAGCCGCAAAGCACGCCCGAAACGGTATACAAACAGCTGCAGCACGCTTTCATAATCAAGCAGCAGTCCGAACAAACAAACACACCGAACTTCAACAGAAATCGTTCACTACAATACCAATCAAGTTACTGTTTTTGGCGTTTTTTGGCAATTGGCGTGATTGGTTTTTTCGTTGTGCAGCAACAAGACAGCGCGTACAAACACAACGACCTGCACGACCACACATTGCAACAGCGGCAACATTTTGCGTGAACGCCATCACCTCCAGCACCTCCAGCACCTCCACTACATCAGCAAACCAACTGCATACGAAACGTTTGCGCGCACGACGCCTGCCTGGCTTGTTATTCATCAGCACGCTACTACTGTTCCTTTTATCCGCACTCCCAAGCGTGCACGCCGCCTGTCGCAAAGAGCCCGCCCGTACTTGTGAGTCCATCTGTACGCCCGGTAGCCTCAATTGCACACTGCGCGCACTCTTACTCCTGCCCGACGATAATGCCTACACGGCTTCGATGTGTCGCACAATGCCCGTGTTGGATTTGGCGGATCAATATATACGCGAAAATAGTTTGTTGCCACCGCAAGTGAACTTGGAATGGATGACAGGCGATGTGAAATGTGATGCTGCGTATGCCTCGATTAAAGCCATGGATGGCATCGTCAAGAATTGTGCACATGTGGTCTTTGGTCCGGTGTGTGATTATGCATTGGGTGAGTTAACGTTAAAGCTCTTTTCATATATTTTGTTTTATGGATTTTTGTGTGACCTCTTTTGTGTATGGAATATAAAGAGAACTTATAAATTGTGTCATGACTTTCGGTATATTTGCATACGAAAGCTAATGCAGGGAGTCATATTTTATAAGCCATTAGGAACTTTCTTCAATTTATATCACAAGGTTGTTATTTTTGATATTACTATTATTGAAAAATCTAAAAACTTGAATAATTTGTCAAGAGTTCACATCTGGTAGACTGTTTTAAGAAGACCTTGCTCTCCAAAATACTCTATGCATAGTCCTTTTTTAGATTTTCTTATTCGGCAGACCATCTACACCTGATCTTTCCATCGGAGTGGATGTCTTCCTGTATCTCTGCTTCCATCAACATGTACCACGACTTCGAATACTTTCAAAGCTGGACTGTTCTCATTCATTCAGGCATGTACCAGCCATGGTAACCGCGGTCCCTTATATTACGGAAGAACAGGAACGATGAGCGACTTGTAGAGTTTGGTTTTAGTTCGCCGGGAAAGAACTTTCCTCTTCAATTGCCTACTCAGTTCAATGTAGCACCTTTTAGCAAGAATGATTCTTTGTTGAATTTCAAGGCTAACATTGTTAATGGTATAGAAGCTCCAAGCTCCAAGATACAGGAAGTTATCTACGATTAAATGTTGTGTCTTCCATAATTTCAGTAAACTCAGGGCACTGTTTGAGTCTCGGAGGCAACCCCTCTAAAAGAATTTCCACAATTCTAGACAACATTTTAAATTGCTGTAGGGTCTAAGGCATTCTTGTGATCTGTGTTTAACTGCGATAGTCTATTAAATACCGCTTTGCATGCGCCTTTGTGAAAGCCTAATTGATTCTACCATTGAAGCGGTGGCCAATTTGGCACCTGCAGAAATGCCACAGTCGGAAGCTACCTTGGTTATTTGCGGCGGTCGCATAAGATCAGCGCTGGTGTACCTGTACCTGCTTCGCACTACAACCCATTCTGCGCTGAAAGAGAAGGAGTACATAGCTGACAGCCAATAGAAGGTTTCCTCTTCCCGATGACTCTATATGTTTTTGTTATTACATTTGTATGCTACTATGTCTCTCACAGGTAGAAAATCGCGCCGAATTATCATGTACTTTCAGTCGGCTAGCTGCTTTCAGCCCGGCTCCTTTTTTATTCATGTCCATGTAAGGGAATTCAAACCGAATTTATGCTAGTCCACTGCTGAATCTTAAAGTGGATAAAGATCAATTGTTTTAACTAAAAATAGCTTCTTCACGAGGAGAACTTTCAGGCGAGAGCCTCACATTGGCATTGGATTTTGGCTTCTACATTAATGTGGTAGTTTCGCGGTCAGGGTCAAAGTACCGAGTTGAGTCGATTTAGTCATTTTCGCCTCTCCGTCTGTCCGTCTTTTAGTAGGCAAACTAGTCCCTCAATTTTTGTGTTATTTCAACCAAACTTGCTACACAGATTCACTGGTGCATTTAAAGGATCATTTGTCAGAATCGACCAGATCGAGCGACTATAGCATATATCCAACCGGTTTTTCAGATTACAAATTTTCTATTGAATTGGTGCAGAAAATTATCGAAATCGAAGGACTTTATTAGATAGATCCCATACAAGGGATTTGTTCAGATGTAAGGTTTTGGCTCAAAAATCTGTCAAAAAACCATTTAAGTCCATACAAGTTTGTCCTCTACAAACTTATATACAAATACACGTTGTAACCCAAAATCATCGAAACCGGAAAACTCCATCATTTAGCTCCCTCCAACCAATTTATTAGATATTAGAATTAATAAATACCATAAGTTTGATATGATCAAAGGTATAAAGGTATAAAGCAGCTAAAATTATTATACTTCTTCTTTACCTTTTCCTCTAGCCGCTGTCAGCCGTATTGCTAAATACTTCAATAGTAACGGTACACCGGTTATATCAATTGGCGGTGCCACTGACAGTTTTGAGGATAAGAAAACAACATGCGCAGATGAATTTTATATGTTAGTACGTGCGGGTGTACTCAGTTTTAAAAGTCTCTCGCTGATGATAATTGAACTTATGAAACGGTAAGTATGGTGAAAATCATATATACAAATATATAATCTAATTATTCTACCCTCAATTTAGCTATAATTGGTCCAATTCAATTGCTTTTTATGAGCGAGACGGTCAGAGCAACATCGTCGGTGAGCATAGTTGCTATTTGATGATGAAAAGTTTTGGTGATGAAATGCGTAATCTGAATTTGACATTTGCGCAATATTCAATAGTGCCGGAGCTGCGCAATCGCACCGAGGAACTGGTGCGTGAAATTGGCAATAAACACACAAGTGAGTACAGACCCATACATTTACTATTGTTTATATGAAAGCGCGGAAAATATGATTACACACCTTCCCCGTAGTTATGCGTGGTTGTTTAGATAACATTACATTTTATTAACACCGTCTGATTTAATATAACAGCGCCTATTCAGCGTCATGTTAACTAACAGTTTAACAACGTCAACAGTTGCCTGTTATGTTACATTAACACTCTCGGGTATTTGAATTTCTGTAAACTTTATCAGTGTAAAGTGCAAAAGCTCGCAGTGAGCAACTAGTGAGCTTTTAACCTAAAATCTTGAACTTTTTAATTATGAAATCGTCTACATTTTTCCAGGAAAATTTTTTTATTAGCTTTCTATGCACAATTGCAGGGTGGTCTTATTAACAGTGCAACATTCAGATATCGATAAATGTAGTAAATTTCTAATAAAATTAGAATAAGTGTGAATTATAAAGGTGTCTGCGTGTTTTCATAATATGTGTACATAATTTTACTTCCACTCCTTTTACTGATTTGATCTACAGTTGAACTGAATTTGTTTTTCTTTAAGACACTATGTCGGTTAACGCCTTTACTGGGAACTCTATCAAATTTGCTATTATTGCGTAATAAAAATATATTTTGCCAATACCAAGTGAAACCTGGTTGCTCTATATCTGATCCTTCCAAAGAAGTGGAAGTCTTCCTTTTTCCTCTACTTCAACCAGCGTGTGCTGCATCGAATACTTACAAAGCTGTAGTGCTTTCATCCATTCGGACGATATCACCTGGCCACCTTATTTGCTGTCTCTTTATTTGCTGAACTATGCCAATATCGTTTCGTACAGCTCCATCGCCTGCGGTAGACACCGTTGCCAATGCGCAAAGAACCATTGATAGTTGGAAAAAAGTTTTTCCCAAAGACTACCAAGTCCGACTCATCGGATGTCGAAAAGTTCCACGCTTGTGCAATATTATTGATTGGACGCTAAACGCTTTCTTATCCAATAAATTAAGGAAATCATACAATAAGGAATCACTTTGGCTGAAACCTCGTTAGGTATTTGTACGGCTCGAAGGGGTCCTCTCTGATACTGGCGAAGCTTTCAGTGTTGCTTAATGTCAGTTCACACAGTTTTGCAGAGATACCAAATTCAGACACTGCGGCATAGAAGCAGCTTCTTTTCCTGCTGTTGAAGGCTGCTTTCAAATCGACAAAGAGTACACTAATATTCCACCCGTTGGACATGCTTAAAAATGACAATATTTTTCAAAAAAGCTCATACATACACTCTATCAGCTCTTCGACCGGCAATCCATTGGCCTCAATCGATTAGTTGTTTTTCAAGCCGGCGATTGCCATTCAAACTTCATCATGACCGATAATTAAGCATCTGTTTCATTATCACATCGAGCAATCTGGCTGGCCATCTCCATAAAATTTAGTCGATAGATCACCTCGCCAGTCTTCAGAGCTTCCGTAAATCGTCGCGCCTTTAGTCGGATATTCGAGCACTACCCACACTACTCACTCATCATGGGGGCTTTTTCTTCTGTTCCAATGCATCTTGCTTCCCTCTTCCCTCAACTGTTATCTACGCCACCCTGCACGTGTATTGGTTGATCGCAAAGTTGCGTGATAGGTGCCTTTCTTTACCTCCACTTTGGCACTGCAATCTTCATCCACCCAGTTACTCTTCAATGAAAATGACTTCAATTGGTTACAAAATGCTAAATATATACATATATACTAACAGGCTCGACCACACTTTGTTGGGTTTTTTTTTATGTTGTTCAATTTTTATTTTCATTGATATTGTAATCGTTGATCAAATATCTTTATTAAACATTATCTGGTACAATTAATTATGTTTTTAATACAATACATTATGGATTTAGCTAGGTATTTGTATTGGTATGCCCTTTTCTCTCTACCTAAAGTCTTTTACGTGATGACAAAATGAATGCATCAAATAGAGCGATTCACTTGCTGGAAGAAATAGAGTTTTGAAGTCGAGAAACTGTAATAACGATTTTTTAATAGGTTGATCCCTGGTGGGAGAGAGCATTATGGTAATATCTACCAAATTTCCAATAAATTGATCGAAAAATTTCCAGTGTGAAGAACAAGTGTCGGCCGATTCTCAGACCTTTACTGCTGTGCACACCAAATTTTATAAAAATTGGTTCAACCGTTTAGTGGCAAGCACCACGACATGGGAATTTTATATATTATATAATATTAAATTATTAAATAATTGTTTTTTAGTGCACTTATCATTGAAAGGAAGTGAATTTTGCTGGGACTGCCCCGCTATACACACTAACAAATCTCACACATTTGCGGAATGTAAATAATGTGCATAGTCGAAAGCTTATTACCACCCTCAAAGAAAGCACGTTTATTTGATTTGAGCTTTTTCGGAATAACAACAGCATAAAGAAAACCAGCTGTTTCACCGAAAATGATAACAAATTGCATTTGTTTACATACACACATGTATTGAGTACACACAATTGAAAGTGAAAGATGTGCAACGTAAACCATTGCCGGCATTTGTAGTTCAAATTCTAACTTGCAACCGTCGGCACGGTGGCCGTTGTGCGTCGGAAAGCGGAATAATTGATTGCGTACGTGTATGCATACGTAAAATAGCGGAAACAAAAACAATAAATGTATGTCAAGTTGCCGTAGTTGTAGTTGGCGAAATATTGAATGAAATCTCAAAATTGTGCTGTTACAAATTATGCGAAGTGAATGAAAAGTGTCAGTGATGGTTATATATATAATTTTAATCGACATATGTAGCAGACAATGAAGTAACCGTTGAAAAAATATTTATAATCAAGAGGCTAATTGTCTACAAAATTCAAAAATTATGAATGTGAAGTGAATGAAAAATTATAAAAAGGAAGCTGTGGAGTTTGGCTCCCGAATTCTCAATAAGTTTGTTTGATGGACTTAAAAAAGCTTTCTTAACGGCAACATACTTCAGGATACTCAAAAATATTACATTACTGACTTCTTTAAAATATCCACTGATGTTCCTTAAGGAAGTGTTTTAGGCCCACGTTATATTTAATTTATACAAGGGATCTTCACACAAACCGAAACTTCGTTATTTCAACTTTTGCGGAAGACACGGCAATACTGAGTGCACATTCGAACCCCGTTGCGATCACTTTTAGATTACAATAACATTATGAAATTACTTTAGAATTGCTAATTACGTGTAGAATAATGAGGAAGCTTTATTATGTTCGCAAAATGGAGAATAAATAACGAGTGAAAATGAAAAAAAAATTATTTAAACTTTTTAATATATTCACCTGCATGTCGGATACATTTTTCAGTTCTTTCAATTAATTTATTTATAAAAAATTTTTTTCAATATCTTGAAAATACAATACGTCCCCTTGACTTCATTATTTTCATTGCAGTTTCTGAGCTCTTTTTTTCATTTTTAACAACAGATAATAATCTCTCGGGGCCAGATCTGGCACGTGGGTGACTCAAAAATATCGAAGTCCCTTTGTGGGGCAGCTAACGCACAGTGGCTCATGTTTTTGCAGAGGCAAGCGCACTTTCAGCACCCAGTCATGCCAAGCTGATCTTGGGGAATTTTAAAATTGGTTGTATCAGATACCTAACCATTTTTGCGATTTGTTTCTTCTTTAGTCGAGCATCGTCGACGACAGTTTTTTGAACTTTTTGATATCTGCTGACGTGGTCGTCTCCTTGCTCGTGCCCAGCCTCTGCTCATATCAAGAGATTCCCTTCCTTCTTTAAATAAATCCTGCCACTTGGATATGCTGTTTTTCCCTCCTAATAAGAGTCGCCGTAAGCCAATGACATCTCATTCATTATGTTCGCAACTGAGATTTTTACGGCACGATTATCGATATTTTTTTTTCTACTAAAAATGAAGCCCCACTAACCATCAGCCACTAAACACGTTACCATCCTAAAGAGCCTAAGCACCTTCCAACTACTATACATTCCGCGAACATAAAAACGATCTCTAGGAAAGTCAATGGGTCTAAAGATATGTCCTTTAACGTGAAGATATTTTCCACAATCTTCTTTTGAGGCCAATTCTTCACCAGCCAAATCGATCGCCATTGATAGGAACAGATGGTAGTCAATTGACATAGGAACATTCCTCATTCTCCTGATGAAACAAAATTCCCCCATTATTTGCCAAAGTTGGGCTCTTCTGGGCGACTGCTTCCTTCAGACCAAACGGATTACCTTCCAGTCCATAAAAAAAAAAAAAAACAACAAAACCTATCTAACCATCATTATTGACTTGGAGGCCATTTGTGCCAGCTCAGTGCACTTCGATACCGTCATTCTTTGCTTGGAGTCTATTTGTGGCAGCTCAGTGCGATTCGATCACTGCCACTTTTTAATCTGAAGTTATTGTGATTGATACATTTTACATCACCAGTCACGCTTCATAAATGGGTCGATTTCGTTACGATTCAGCAAAGATTTGCAATTGGAAATTCGGTTCATAAAGCCATTGGAAAAATAGTGAATAAGTTGTTACTTGAGCTAATATACATAAGCAGCTCTTAGTAATCGCTGAAGCGATTTCGGCTCCTCCAACTTGCGGTATGTGTCTTTATGCTTTTCCAACAATTGGACGGACCTTCAGTTTATTCTAAGCAGCCCCGAACGGCCGATCGATTTTTATGAGGAGGTTTTTATTTCATATCAGAAATACCAACCGAGGACTTGATATTCCCTACCGAGAGGTGGCCAGAATTGGCAAAATTAATGTTCCGTCAAATTGAATATTAGTACGCATTGCTCACCACGCGGTTACTGTGGCCGCATTTCACTAAACATACCCAAAAGAATTTATAAACATTTAGTATTTATTTATTTGTTATAACACTTTTATATACTATTGCGGCGGATATATTATCAATAATATATAATTTACTTCACTTAGCTTTGGGAACTAATGGAATTAAAAATGCAGGCGGGCAGTTTTCATTTACCAAAACTCACAGC